TTCTGGGGACCAACACTAAGTCCATGGCACGTCTTATCTTACCTACTCACCTATCAACCCTATGAAATAGGGACTCAAATTACCCTCATTCACATAAATGAAGAAACTTGAGCACAGAGAGGTTAAGTTACTTGTCCAAGGTCACCCAACTAGTGAATGATCATGAATTTAAATCTAGCCACTTTAACACCAGAGAGATTTGGTACTTAATTTCCCTTGGAATTTTCCTTCCCTTTCCCAGTAAATGGTACTGTGACATTTCTTGCCCAGCATCCAAGAACGTAAAGCACACAAAAGTTCTCAGGGGAGGCCAAGGGGTAAACCTCAGGGGTCAGGGGTCAGCAACTCTGTCATAATATGAGAAAAAGTTGATATGTGTGTGTGTGTTAAGGATCCATGATTATCAATGGCTCCTAGGAAGAATGTGAGAGTGGAATAAAGGCCAACCGAGTAAATGAAGTTTTCACTGCAGTTTAAATGTTTAATGAAACTCCCTGCTGAGCTGTTTCATCTTCAGCTAAACTGCTTCCTTCCCATGCGGACCAAGTGCTTCTCATGCTTTTGACTAGATTCATCATTTTGTTTGTGCTTCATTTATGCATGTGTTTGGCTTTTCTTTTTTTTTTTTTGGGTCTGGTCGTGGGGCCTGAACTCTGGGCCTGGGCGCTGTCCCTCAGCTCTTCAGCTCAAGACTAGCGCTCTATCACTTGAGCCACAGCACCACTTGTGGCTTTTTTCTTTTTGCTTATGTGGTGCTGAGGAATCGAACCCAGGGCCTCATGCATGCAAGGCAAGTGCTCTACCACGGAGCCACCTTCCCAGCCCCTGTTTGGCTTTTCTCTGAAGGCTGTTAAGCATGAGTTTGTATCTAGTTTGAACATGTGTCAGTAACTTCTTTGGAATAAGGTAAGTCAACATTGGGCTTTAAATGATGTCCATCTGGCTTTTCAAGTTGGGGAAATCCCGCTCTAGGTATCTTTTCCATGGGACTTCTGATGGATCTTCTCTATGCAGAAACTAACTTCCTGTCAGTGCTGGAACTTTCCAGTGCAAGGTGTAATGGGTGACAGCAGCTGAGACTAGCTATAGCTGTGGAGAACAGAGATGCCTGAGCAAACCTCAAACACCACTGAGGCTGGCGCTTCTCTACCGTTACTCTATTTCCTTATTTATTTGTTTGTTCGTTCATCCTTACTGAAGTTTTAACTCAGGGCCCTGCCCTTGCTAGGCAGGTGCTCTACAACTTGAGCCATGTCCCCATCCTACCCCACGTCAGTCTTGAATATAGAGTTTATTTTGTGGGCCATTTGTTGATGGAGTTAATGGTCTTGTTTTCTAGTATCTCTGCTGCTTCATTCAGGATCTCTGAGAATTATGGCTTTATGAGATAATGTGTTTTTTGTTTTTTGTGTGTCCCTGTACTGGGGCTTGAATTCAGGGCCTAGGTGTTGTCTGTTAGCTTTTTCACTCAAGGCTGGTGCTCTACCACTTGAGCCACAGCTCTATTTGTCTTTTTTTGCCACTCCTGGGGTTTGAACTCAGGACCTGAGCTTCTTTTGCTCAAGGTTATCTATCCCTCTACCACTTGAACCACAGCACCACTTTCAGCTTTTTCTGTGTATGTGGTACTGAGGAATTGAACCCAGGGCTTCATGCATGCTAGGCAAGCACTCTACCACTAAGTTGTATTCCTAGCCCCTGTCTTTTCAAAGAAAATTATATTTTTATCTTTAAGTAGCTGTACAAAGGGATTGTCATCTCTTTCTGGCTTTTTTCTTTCTTTCTCCTTGTCTTTTGGTGGTTAATAGGAAGTAAGAGTCTCAGGGAATTTTTTCCCCCTGGGCTGGCTTCCGTGATCCTCAGATCTCAGCCTCCTGAGTAGCTGAGTTACAGGTGCAAGCCACTACCATTTAGATGGCATGAGGATGCCAAGTGGTGTTGGTAGGACAGAGGAGCCATGGGACAAATCTTTCTGGGACCCAGGGTCTAGAGTGGGAGCTGTGGAGGCTGTGATTTTTCTGTTATTGTTCAAGACCCTGCTTTGGTTGCACGTAATTGAACCTAACTTGAGCTATCATCCCAGGCATAAAAAGGGAAACTATTGAAAGAACTGAAGATCCAAGAAGGGTCTGACCAACCCAGCAGATAAAGGCCCATGATGCTTCTGGCCTTTTGGAGTAGCTGAGCAGAGCCTCAGACCCCATCAGGCCCCAGCTCTTGATCCTGTTTTTCCTGGCTGGCTGCATTTATTTTTTTCTTTCATGGCAGACTAAATTTTTCTATGTGGAGGTTTTAGAGGGAAGGGACTTTTCTTTTTCTTTTTTGATGACAGCCCTGGAGCTTGAACTCAGGGCCTTGTACTCTCACTTGGCGTTTTCACTCAAGGCTGGCGCCATGGCTCCACTTCCAGCCTTTTGCTGGTTAACTGGAGATAAGAGTTGCATGGACTTTCCTGTCTGGGCTGGCTTTGAACCTCGATCCTCAGATCTCAGTCTTCTGGGTAAGTAGGATTATAGGCGTGAGTCACCAGGGCCCTGCAGGAGGGATTTGGGTCCAGTTTGGGCCCCTTTCCACCTTGGATCAAGCAGAAGTCACGGTCATGTGATCACAGGGGCTGCTTGGGTACTGTCAGATTAGTGTCAGCAGAAGGGAGGAGGAGGGCAGCGCATGAAGGGAAGGGACCCAGCCCGGCAGGCATTTTCTGAGTTTCTGAATGGAGGAACACCGCCCTCTCCACTTCCATTTTTGGGAAGAGTGATGGCAGGAATGACGACAGTTTTCTCCCTTTTATTCATAAAAACAAATTTGCAACAATTTATTAAAAATTGATACCATGCAGTGGTGGTGGGGGCAGGGTGGGAGAAATTCCTCATTTACATCCAATCCTGGCGGTTCCAGTTTAATTTAAAGCATTTTGTGCACTAACAATCATTGGGGAATGCCTTCGGGCCAAAGCCTCTTGGAAATGGGATGTGTTGGCTATGTATAAAAGAACAGAACCATTAGATAGCTAGAGTCACTTATTTTCGGGGAAATTAAGAAACAAAATGGGTGAACCCTATGTGATCAGTAGACAGAGTGGACTTGGTGAATTCATCTAGCAGACGGAGCACGTTTTTTGGGAGTCACAAAGGATTACAGACACACGTTCACCTCCGACAGTCCAATACTTTTTGTTTTGTTTTTCCTGCTATGCTGGAATAATATTTCTACAGGTATTTTTGTGTGTGTATACATTATGTACAATTGTCTCTTTTTTAATCTTTGAAAAAGTAATGTGATCCTTTAAATTAAAAAATTTTTTGGGGGGGGGTGAAATCAAGAAAGCAAGTAAATACTGGCAACACACAATTGAGTGACAACACGATTTGTAGTGCTTAAACAGAGAGGACTTCGACTGGACCTGTGATGGAGTCATGTTTTGTTTCTTTTGTAATTTTATTTTCCTAAAAGCTACAGTACTTCCGTAAGCTCTCTTGGAAGGGAGGGAGGGAGGAAGAGCTACGCTAGGGTGAACTTGGGTGCTGTGAAATATTGGCGATGGTGATTCCCACGGGCCCTTGTCATCACAGCCGGGGTGGTGACACGTGTGTTTCTGACTGCTGTGGACCTGGGCGGAGATTATTGCCTGCCTGTTGAAGCTGCCATTTAGGATTTATTTTTTATTTTTCCCGGGGAGTGAGCAAAACCCCACTCTGTTGTGCAGATGCCTGGGACTATGTCATTCAGGCCTTTCTCTAGCAAAGAACGAACCTGTCCAAGAATGTCAGAAAAGTCCTTGGGAGTCTCCCGTTTTAGTCCAGGCTGTTTTAGGGAGAGGGCTATCTGTGCTGGAAGCTTCTCTGGGCCGTGCCCCCAGCGTGTCCGGCGGACTGCAGGTCGTGGTGACACTCACGGGTCGGGACTGCGTCACTGTTTGGTACAAAGCTCGTGTGGCTGACGTGAGTGCCCATCCTCCCTCGGGGTGACCCTGTGAGGTAGCCTGGGTGTTATCTCCACCCTCATCTGTTTCAAAGGGGGAAACGGAGGCTCAGAGAGACACTAGTGACTTGCCCAAAGTCATTGGAAGGGAGTGGGGGGGGGGGTTGGGATTGAGGATTTGAACCCAGGTCTGTTTGACTCCCTGGCCAGTGCTCTTTGGGGGGGGGGGCGAGGGGGAGATAGGAGGTTTCAATGAAAAGGGAAGAGTGGCTTTATGAAGGAGAAGCAGTCTGTGGCTGGATTGCCCCGGTGGGTGCCAAGGGGAGAACTTGCTGGCTTTTCTGGAAGCCCAGGGAAGCCCTCAGCCAGCGCCCCCTCCCCGGTGACACCAGGGGTGTCCGTTAGCAGAATGCCCACACGTAGTCACTTTGGTCAGAAACAAAGTCAGTGGAAGAAAAAGCAAAAGCAAAAGGAAAACAAAACAAAAATCCCAGCCAGCCCTTGGGCCCTGATGGGAGAGGTTAAAGTGCACAATCTTTCCTTTCTCGCGTTTGCTGGGAAGCAGCGTTCCACCATCAGCTCGGCTCCCGCTCATGAATGGGAACACTGGATCTGAACACAAAGACACGGCCAACGTGGTGGGTGCGTGACAGACTGTCGGTGGAGGCTGCAGAGCGTGTCTGCAGGCCCGTGCCCTAAATCCCCACGGTCCCCCGGAACGGGTGTTACTGTGTTAAATGTGTGGCGTTTATCAGAATAACAAACGTCTCTTCCGTGAAGGAGCCCCTGGGAGCATGCCAGGCCGCCTGCTCAGGGACCCCAGCCCCAGGCCTGTGCCCGTGTGCCCTTCTCCAGGCCTCTCTGTGCCAGGGAGGTGAGGGCGGGCTGGGTTGGCTGCTGGGCACCTGGTAGCCCTGTTTACCCCAGGCGGATTCTCAGAGCCCGGGCCTCTTCCCCGAGGCTCAGGGCTGCGCTCTTGGTGAGTCTGGCTGGCACTCCAGGCCTGTCTCCTTGTCTAGAGTTATTATCATTGTTACTATTTTGTGTGTGTGATGTGTGTGTGTGTGTGCGTGTGTGTGTGCAAGTTTCAAATATCATAGCTCTTCCTTGATTGCAGACATTACTTAAGGAAGAAGTCATTTTCATTCCTCTTCTTTGTGAAAGAATAAGAACTTCACAAATAAGGCTCGCGGTCAGGCGCCATGTCCCCCTGTCCTGTCCACGCAAGTGCCAGCCGAGCAGTCCACAGGAGGCAGCCACGGTGCCCAGCTTCTCTGCGGCCAGAGCTGACAGGGTGCCTGTAGCAGACGCCTGTGCCCGGCGTGGTGCGGTCACCCGGGAGGCCCCGGCCCAGGCCTCCCACCCTCTTACAGGCCTGAGACCATGACTCGGAAGGAGGGCGGCACGTGTCTGTGGCGGGGGCTGGCGGTGGGGCTGACACAGGGGCTGACGCAGCTGGCATCCACACCTCCGATGGATGGGAGGTAGGCGTGGTGGAGGATGGGGAGCTGGAGGGACAGCCGGCGCTGGATGCTGCAGGGAGAGAGGGCTGAGTGAGTGAGGGAGAGCTCCCCAAAATTTCCCTGTGCCCACTGAGGCTCAAAAAGTTGAGTCTAAGGAGTTTGATTGTCTCTGAATCCAAGATCTGTCAGTCCAATCATGTGACCATTGAGTCATCCAGCAGGGATTTATTATTGTTGTTGTTGGTCATGGGGCTTGAACTCGGGGCCTGGGCTCTTTCTCTCAAGGATAGCGCTCTACCACGATGAGCCATAGTGCCACTTCTGGTTTCCTGGTGGTTAATTGGCATTAAGAGTCTTAGAGACTTTCCTACCTGAGCTGGCTTTGAACCATGATCCTTAGATCTCAGCCTCCTAAATAGCTAGGATTACAGGTGTCACCAGTGCTAGGCCAATTATTATTGTAATTATTTTTTTTTAATGCCCATACTGTGGCTTAAACTCAGAGCCTTGGGCTCTTGCTTGGCTTGTTTTGTTCAAGGCTGATGCTCTACCACTTGAACCATACTTCTACTTTTGGCTTTTTCCTACTTAGTTGGGGCTAATCTCTTGATATGTCTGCTTAGGCTGGCTTCAAACTGCGATCCTCAGATCCCAGCCTCTGGAATAGCTAGGATTAACAAGCAAGAGCCACATGAGAACATGGGATCTGATGTTGGCCAGATCCAAGTTCAAATCTTATCTCTTGCATTCAGCAACTGGGTGGTTAATTATTTTTTTTTTTTTGGTTGGTCATGGGGCTTGAACTCTAGAACTGGGTGCTGTCCCTGAGCAGTTCAGTTCAAGGCAAGCACTCTACCACCTGAGCCACAGAGCCACTTCTGGTTTTCTGGTGGTTAATTGGAGATAAGAGTCTCACTGAGTTTTCTGCCTGGGCTGGCTTTGAGCCATGATCCTCAGATCTCAGCCTCCTGAGTAGCCAGGATGACAGCGTGAGCCACTGAGCCTGGTTATTAGTATTTTTGAACATTAGTTTTTTCACCTTAAGAAGAATGGGAGGGCTGCATGGGTAATAAAATAATGATTGTAAAGTGGGGGGCACATCACAGTTTTTCAGGGGTGACCGGCTCTCAGGTAATAATTTGCAAGAAGGTCATAGGTACTTACTGTTCTGGGGAGTTTATGTCTTCAATGGGGTCTTTGCATGTCCGGGCAGGTTCTGCTGTATTCCACTGTAGCTGAGGATTCTGATCGAGGTGATTTTTTAGAATGCCCTTTCCTCCATCTGATTGTAAGGCAACAATATCACGCATTATTAACTGAGCTTTTAAAAATCAACAATGCAACATTCAGGATGCTGCCCAAAGATGAGAAAGCCATCCCTCAGCCCTTGTTCATGGGACAGAGGATACTTCAAAGCCTCCATCCCAGAGAAGCTGGGAGGGCATTCTTAGGGAGTGGTGGCTTGTCCCACATCTTCTTGCCAAGAATGGATGGGAAAACCATCTGATCGATAATGTAGCTAGCATAGCTGACAACATTGAAGCCCCTTGTACTGGTTCATATGATATAATGACAAAGGGAAAAAAGTCCTTGTGGGATATTTTTTGATAAAATTATCAGATTATCAAAGGTTAAAAAGAATAGTAGCTAGATGCTGGTAGCTCATGTCGGTAATCCTAGCTAGTTAGGAGGCTAAAATTGGAAGATCTTGGTTCAAAGCCAGCCTAGACAGGAAAATCCATGAGACTCTTATCTACAATTAACCATCAAAATGCTAGAAGTGGATCTGTGGCTCAGAGTGGTAGCCTTGAACTTGGCTTTGAGTCCATGTCCCAGGACTTACATGCGCACCTCTGTATGTGTGTGTGTATGTGTGTGTACATCTGCACACACACACACACACACACACACACACACACATACCTCCCCCAGTAAAATGTCAGTGGGGTTTCTGACATTGTAAGGAATGCTATTAATATGAACTACCACCATAAAATGGCTTTTTTATTTTGAGGTACTAAGGATTGAACGGAGGCTCACACATGCTAAGTAAGTGTTCTGTCACTGAACTACAACCCCAACCTTTTTAATTTTCTTAAATTAAATGAACTTTATTTTTAATTAATTAATTTATTTATTTTGGTGTTGGTCCTTGGACTTGAACTCAGGGCCTGGGCATGGTCCCTGAGCTTTTGTGCTCAAGGCTAGTGCTCTATCACTTGAGTCACAGATCCACTTCTAGCCTTTCTTCCTTTCTTCCTTCCTTCCTTCTTTTTTCTTTTCTTTCCTTCTTTCCTTCCTTCTCTCTCTCTCTCTCTTTTTTTCTTTCTTTCTCTTTCTTCCTTTTTTTTTTTGTAGTTAATTGGAGATAAGAGTCTCACAGACTTTCCTGCCCAGGCTGGCTTCAAATTGTGATCCTCAGCTCTCAGCCTGAGTAGCTAGGATTACTGAGTAGCTAGGCATGAGTCACTGGCACCTGGCTAATTTTATTTTTATTATATATATATTGTTATTATTATTTGCCAGTCCTGGGGCTTGAACTCAGGGCATGGGCACTGTCCCTGAGCTTCTTTTGCTCATGGTTAGTGTTCTACCACTTGAGTCACAGCGCCACTTCTGGCCTTTTCTGTTTATGTGGTACTAAGGAATCGAACCTAGGGCTTCATGAATGCTAGGCAAGAGCTCTACCACTAAGCCACATTCCCAGCCCCTATTTTATATTATCTTTAAGTAGCAGCACAAAAGGATTCCAATTCAACATGTCAGTTTGTGAGTACTATGCATCTTGATCAATTCTTCCTCATCTTCCTTCTCCCCCAACTCTCCCAACCCCACCCAGCCCCTCAAGCTACCTGGTTCCATTTTCACATATGTATGTTGAATATTATGACTGAACTCTCCCAGCCCTCCTCTCTCCATCCACCTGCTCCCTCCCCTTGGCCTCACCCCTACAACACAGGTTCCACCTTCCTGGTATACATGTTGTTAAACTGTAAGTTAGTTGTTCAAAGAGTTACATCGCTAGAACCCTCCTCTGTCATGTCTGTGTATACATGCACATGGCCATGTATAGCCTTCATTCTTTCTTTAAATTTTCAAATAGGTTGTTAAAAATTGCCTAGGTTAACCTCCAACTTGTCTTCCCTAGGCTCTGGATTACAGGCATATAGCACCATCCCTGCTAAAAGGGCTTATCTTTTGTCCAGAATTTCTACTTCTAAGGAAATAATATTTCCTAAGGAAATAATCAAGAATAGGTGCCAAGATACATACAAAATGTTCCACTCAGCACCATGACAAACAGCTAAGTGTGGGAACAAATCCAAGTTTGTTCTGTAATTATGGATTAGTGACATGTGTTCTGGGGCCTCTGTTCAAAGGGAACTCTTTTATTTTTATTTTTAAATGTTTTTTGGTGCCAGTCTTGGGGTTGAACTCAGGGCCTGGGTGCTGTCCCTGAGATTCTTTTTCTCAGGGCTAGCGCTCTAATCACTTTGAGCCATAGTGCCACTTCTGGCTTTTTCTGAGTAGTTTATTGGAGATAAGAGTCTCACGGATTTTCCTGCATGGGCTGGCTTTGAACCGTTATCCTCAGATCTCAGCCTCCTAAGTAGCTAGGATTACATCCTTGCTCAGCTATTCAAAGGAATACTATATAGCCACAAACAATGGGATCAAAATCCTTGATCCCTTGGGGGAAGATCAAAGAAGTATGGTCCCTCTCTCCCTGAGCAAGCTGGATGGATGTGGTCAGGAGAGGAGAGGTGCTTTGGTTTGATCTCACTGTGGGGGTGACTGTGTTATTTTGCCACCTTGAGAGACTCTGGATCCTTGTTAGTCATAGTTCTGTAGTTACACACATGAGCCGCTGATGCTCAGCTTTCCCCCACACCTTTTTCCTTTGAGACAATCTGGTTAAGGTAGCCCAAGCTGGCCTTAAACTCACAGGTCATCTGCCTCAGCCTTTGTGAGTGCTGGGGTCACAGGCATGCGCTGCCGTGCCATGCCTGGCTGTCATAGGTGAAAGATTTTGAGTTGCCTGCTGCCTGGATTCCCAGCCGAGGTGACACTCCTCCTTTTCCTTAGCTCTCATGCTATAAATACGGGGTGGGTGTGTGTGTGTGTGTGTGTGTGTGTGTGTGTGTGTGTGTGTGGTTTATCTAGTGACATGTCTTTCACATTTTGGTTCTCCCTGTGGTTGATTTTGCCGTGCTAAACAGCCCCATCTATAGTGCGGAGGGAGGCTGGTGTTCCCAGAGGGCTGTGCTGCGTGTATGGAGACACCACCGGGGGCACAGCAGCATGGGCCACAGATGGGCCAAAGGCCTGAGGGCTGTAGGTTCAATAGTGGCAAACCAACACTACAGACTTAAAGTGTCTCTAAACAGAAGCAGAAACAACTGAAGTTTGGCTGACAAGAATGCCAACCTGCTAGGAGCTTGCAGGACCCTCTGCGTTTTCCATGATTCAGTTTCATGAATTCATTATTCGTGGTGACTTTGTAGACAGACCACACCCACTCCAACATTCTAGGGTTTGGTCTGAATGTGTCTACCCAAATTCATGTGTCCAAGGTCCTTTTGTTATTAGATGTGTCTTACTATGTTCTTCAGGCTGGCTCTGAAGTCTTGGGCTTAAATGATCTTTCTGACTCTGTCTCCAGGGTAGCTGAGACTACAGGCATGCACCAGTGTACCCATTAGCCAGGTATTGAAACCTAATGGCTAGCATGAATTAAGAAATGGAACTTGCCAGGCCCTGGTGGCTTGTGCTTGTGCTCAGGAGGCTGAGACCTGAGGATTATAGTTCAAAGCCAGTCCAGGCAGGAAAGTCCATGAGACATTTTTTTTGTTTATGGCAGTTGTGGGGCTTGAACTATTTCTGAGTTCTTTTGCTTGAGGCTAGTGCTCTACCACTTTGAGCCATAGCTCTACTTCCAGTTTTTTGGTAGTTAATTGGAGATAAGAGTCTCACAGACTTTCCTGCCCAGGCTGGCTTTGAACCAGGATCCTCAGAGCTCAGCCTCCTGAATAGCTAAGGATTACAGGTATAAGCCACTAGCACCTGGCTCCACAAGACTCTTACCTCCAATTAACCACCAAAAAGCAGGAAGTGAAGCTATAGCTCAATTGGTAGAGCACTAGCCTTGAGCAAACAAATCTCAGGGACAGCTCCCAGGCCCTGAGTTCAAGCCCTAGGACTGGCATGAGAGAGAAAGGAGGGGAAGGGGGAAGGAGGAGGGAAGGAAGAGGGAAAGGAGGGGGAAACTAACCTATTATTATTATTATTATTGCAGAAATGGCGTTTAAACTCAAGGCCTTGCTCTTGCTTAGGTGCTCTACTGCCGAACCACACCTCCTGCTTAGAAGTGGTTATGTACTTGGACTGCAATCCTCCATTGCAGGCTTTCTACAGTTGCTGGGATGATAGGTGTATGCTACTACTCCCAGCTTTCCTCAGTTGAGATGTTCTGCCTGCAATCCTCCCAATCTTAGCCTCCCATTTGGCGCAGTATGACTTGTGTGTGCCACTGCTTCTAGCTATGAGTTAGAAGAGGTCTTGCAAACTTTTCTGCCTGGGCTGGGCTCAAACCATGATCTTCCCATTCTCGGCTTCCAAATGGGGAAAATGACAAGCCTGAACCACTGGTGCTGTGCAAGAGGCAGAACTCTTAAAGGCGATACAGTCGTGAGGATGGGGCTCTCGCTGAGGTAATGAGGGCCCTTACGAAAGGCCTACAGAGTGGGCTTGAGCTTTTCCATCTCTTCCACCTTGTGAGGACAGTGTCCTCCTACAGTGGATGCAGTAATCTGCTTGCAAGCCCAACCAAGCCCTTTCCAGTTATCAAACCAAAACCTTGAACTAAACTAAGCCCACCCACTGACCCTGGGTTCTTGTCCTCCAGAATTATAAAAAACCATTTCTGTTCTGTAGAAATCTGCCAGATTGTAGTATTTTGCTATAGTAGCACAGACTATGAGATAAAAAATAAACGCCAGCTGTGGCATTGCTGGGTTAGAACAGCAATGAGTGATCTCTGATCCTTGTTGGTCCTAACAGGGGAACAGAGAAGATTTAACCTCCTTCCTTCTTTCTTTCCTTCCTTCCTTCCTTCCTTTGGGCTTGAAGTCAGGGCCTGGGCACTGTCCCCAAGCTTTTTCTACTCAAGGTTAGTACTTACCACTTGAGCTGTCACAGCACCACTTCCAGCTTTTTCTGAGTAGTTAGAGATAAGAGTCTCATGGACTTTCCTGTCCAGGCTGGCTTTGAATCACAATCCTTAGATCTCATGAGTAGCTTCATGAGTAGCTAGGATCACAGGTGTGAGCCCTCAGCACCCAGCCTTAGTTTGCTTTTGTTTAACAAGGAATGAGATTGAGCCCCTTTTCCTATGTGAAAGAATTACTTTTTTTTTTTTTTTTAGAATGCTCTTTTATGTTGCTGGTCTTATTCATTTGTTTATAGTTATATATATTCTGTATATAATCACATATAATTTCTTCTTATATGGCCAGGGCATAAGCTTATTGACCAAGTTAAAAATATATTTTCTTGTGGTCCTGAGGTTTATGCTTGCCAAGCAGGTGCCCTACCACTTGAGCCACGCCCCCAGCCTAAAAATATATTTTGAGACAGGGTCTTGCTGTGTAACCCAGGCTATCCTAGAAGTAACAATCTTCCTGCCTCCACCTCCTGAGTGTTGTGATTATAGGTGTGTGCCCTTACTCCCAGTTTGAGTTAAAGTATTTCTTGGCTCAGTTTATTGTTTGACTTAAAGAAATATATATATATATATATATATATATATATATATATATATATATATATATATATATATATACATTAATGCTGATTGTTGCCTTTTGAAAACAGGCTTCTTTGAAGTTATATTTATGAACAGTTCCTCTTGTGCTTTCTACTTTGCATCAACCTAAAACACACCATCTCCTTTCTGGGATTATCTTACAAGTGATTTTGTTGTTGTTGTTTCTGCTGGTTCTTTGGGGTTTGGGTTCGTCTCTGCTGCTGTGCGCGCCGCCTGTCTCTCACCTGTGCTCTCGGTGAAGTTGCCCAGGTTGAGGATGTCATTGAGCTCCTGGTAGTGATTCTGCTTGATGTAGGTGGTCTTCTCAGGGGTGTCCTGCAGCTGCATGGTGACCTCCTCCAAATCTTTATCCAGCTGCAAGGCAAGTTTCCAGCTCAGTCAGTGCCCTGCCCCGCCCCACACCCAGCCCTGTCCCACAGCCCAGTCCTCAGTGCCAAGAAGAGGATTTGCCATGGTATTGTAGAGCTGGGAGGCAGAAGGAGATTGCTACTGCGTGTGTGTGTGTGTGTGTGTGTGTGTGTGTGTGTGTGTGTGTGTGTGTGTATTTGTGTGTGTGTGATGGTACTGGGGCTTAAATTTAGGACCCAGGCACTGTACCTTTAGCTTTTTCATTCAGGGCTAGAACTCTAGCTCTTGAGACATACCTTCACTTCTGGCTTTTTGTTGTTTACGTTAGAGAGATGAGTTTTATGGATTTTCCTGCCTGGCTAGCTTTGAACTCTGATCCTCAGATCTCAGCCTCCTGAGTGGCCTGAGCCACTGGGACCCTCTCCAAATTCCTTTCTAAGGATGCTCTGAGCTGAGCCAGAGACTGCTGGACCCCAAAAGCCTGGGCCAGGTAGGCCGTAAGTTGATATCATCCTGATAAACTGCTTTTGCCTGGTTTATGCTGCCCCAGCTCCCAGTGCTATAGAGACAGCTGGAGTGTAGGAAGGCGACGGAGGCGCAAGGAGGCGCACGGATGGTCCTGGCTCACGGACGGCTGCTGGCCGCTGGCCGTACCTCTGTGATCTTCATCCGGAGGCGGTGGTTCTCTGACTGCAGGCCCTCCAGGCGGGATGTGCTGGCCTGGTTCACGCTGGTGACTGAAGTGGATGTTTTGGAGTCTTCCTTCTTCTGGTTGTGGGTGAACTGGAAGCGCCTGTTCTGCGTGGCTGCATCTGGGTTTGTCCTCAGAGTGATGAGCTGCGGGGACAGACAGGGGTGGGCATGGAGAGCCTGGGCCGTGTCCCCCTCTCCATGGCACCCCTCCCTCCATGTAGCCAGCAGAGGGGCCACAGGAAGGGGGCACTGTGGGAGCTGAGGGCCCAGGGCCTAAGCCAGCCTCTGCCTCTGGCTTGCGTATGACCTTGAACAGGCTGCTTGGATCCTTCCAGGCTAGGAGTGGTCTCCTGCCCCTCTGCAACCCACCCATCCCACAGAGGCCCAACCAGGGCCTTTGAGCCTAGCTCCTGCTCAGCCTCTGTTCCCCCTCAGGCCCTGCTCCGTGTGGAGAGCCCTGGAGGGGACAGCGGTAAAGACTTGGGACAGAAGAGAGCGATGATGTCTGGCGAACCCTTGTGGAGTTTGGGGCCGGGTGGGTAACTAGCGCTGTCCCTGGCAAAGGGAGTTTCTTATTGGCAGCTTCAAGCCCTACACTTTGATTATTGTAGTTCCTGTTGGCACTTTAGCTTTAGCCAAAGATGTTTTTTATATAACACAATGTCATTGAGAACTACCTCTGGCTCACGGTCTGACAGAGCAGGTACTGGTCCAGACATAGCCTCTGGCCACCAGAATCTCTTGGTCTCAAGTGAAATGGGGATGGACAAGGACCAGTTATCAGACTGCCCCTGGGTGTGTGGCCGGCTGGGCTCTGGGAGGGTCTGGAAGGAAGGAGGGGGAAGGAGGTCTGTGGGGAAAATCTGGCAGGTGCAAATGCTGGGAGGCTTGGGGTCCAGAGACCTGGTTCTGGGGGGACTGAGGAGCCCAGTGAAGACCTGCTGCAGTGACAGCGTGATGCATCAGAACTGGGATGGAGGGTCAGGTGCGGGCTGAGAAGTAGAGACCCTGGTCCGGAGCCTGGGCAGGAGTGGACAACTAGGAAAGGAGAATATATGTAGCAGAAGTCCTGCGGGCAGCCTGGGCATGGTGGGCAGGGCTCAGCTTGGCTCCTGAGCGGGGAGGAGTGTTCCCCAAAGGGGCCCAGGGACCTCTCGTCTTCTCTGTGGAGATGCCATCACACCTGGTCAGTCAACAACTCCTTCCTGATCCTTCTTTATCCCTGAGACCCACCCAGGCCTAGCTGTCCCCCTCTCCACAAAGGAGACATCCCCGCAGGGTGCCCTAAGAAGCCAAGTCCCCTGGTTCTCTCATTAGTTCCTTGCTTAGTTGCTTGATAGGGCGATATCAAGGAGATCTGAAGGTCAGCCCTTTGGATCAATGGAAAATCGAAGCATGGCTAGTTAACCCAGTAAGCTTATTTAACCCAATAATACCATTTCCAGGGCCCTATCATCAGGAATGCTATGTAGAAAATGTTCCTGTTGTCATTTTTTAAAAAGTCTATAAATAACTGCAATGTTCACCAATAAGGGCCAAGTGACAACAAGGGTGAGTGATGGTTGTGCCTGTGGGAAAAGAGAAAGGACAGAAAATGTGAGAGCAAATGATAATAACTGGTGTGCTCTGGTGACAGCCACATCTTTAAAGCTTTCTTTCTGGGCTTTGGAAAACAGAAGCCAAACAGTGATGTACATCTTAACACACACAGAGGGTTTTATTAAGTGGTGAGTGCGTGCATCTGACTTCCTCTCTTTTTTTCTCAATCTTTGCTCATGTGCCGGTCCATTGGTACAGCTTACCCACAACTTAAGTGTGGCCCAGGGCTTAGGTGCTGGTTCTCTGGGTGGCAGGGAGGAGATGGTGGGTCCTTAAAGAGATGGGCCCAGTGGGAGGCTGTTGGGTCATTCAGAGGCTCAGCTTGGCAGAGATTAAGGTAGATCTTTTCTTGGGGGTAGCAGTGTTATTCTAAGATAGAACCCAGCTGCTCCTGCCTTTGTTCCTTTTCCTCATGCATGACCCCCTGCTGTGTGGCAACTGGATTTTAAGATCCTCACCAGAGCCCTCCCCTCCAATCCTCAGAAACCACCAAGTAAACAAACCTTTTTCCTTGATAACCTTAGCCAGCATCAGGCATTTCACTCCCGTAACAGAAAAAAAAGTGGATAAATACAGTCTGAATGTTTCAGAAGCAGAGAAAGCCCAGCAATCACGTGCAGTGGGGTGGGAAGACAGAGGCGGGGTACCTTTGGCACAAACACCAGACACAGGGTGATGGTGCTGCAGAAGATGATAACCAGGGCCACAATGCAGAACTGCACGTTGGGCTGGTCCCGGGTGAGGAAGGAGACGGCGGCCCCGATGATGCACATGATCCCCACGTTGTACACGCTCATCCCTATGTACTTGCTGTCATTGAGCGCGGGGATGCTGACATTGCGTGTCTCCCAAGCTAAGAAACAACCGAACAACTGAAATGGTGAACAGAAAGGGGAGATGCTCATTACCAAGGGGCAGCACACACTCCCTGCTTGAGAAGCTGCCGGGAGCCCGTGGCTCACGCCTGTAATCCTAGCTACTCAGGAGGCTGAGATCTGAGGATTGTGGTTCAGAGCCAGCCCAGGCAAGAAAGTCTATGAGATTCTTATCTCCAATTAATCACAGAAAAAATCTGGAAGTGGCACTGTGGCTCAAGAGCTAGAGCAATAAACTTGGGCAAAAAAGAGCACAGGGACAGCCACTAGACCCTGAGTTCAAGCCCTAGGACTGGTACCACAAGAAAAAAAGAAAAAAAAAGCTGCTGGGTACAGGGTTGTCTGCCCATGAGGCAGGAGGAGAGAGGCGGGAGAGAGAGGCTGGGGTGTGGGGTGTAGGGCTTTTCTGTTAGTCTGTCAGCCAGGTCTTCTCCAGCACCATCTGCCTCCCCCTGTGATCCTGAGCTGCATTTCACCAAGGAGGTACAGACTGGGGGTAGGACAACTGTCTGGCTCTCCTTCACCCCTAAACCCACCTGCACAGGCTACATATTTTATCTTGACCACCCTCTCTCGCTCTCTAGAGAACACTGAAGCCCAGAGAAGAAAAAGATCCCTCCCAAGGCCACATAGCAATATGGTGGCAAAGTGGACCATGTCTCCAGCCCAGTCCTAGTTTGCAGGCAGACATTTTGTGACTAAGCTTTTTTCTTCCCTCCCTCCCTCCCTCCCTTCCTCCCTCCCTTTCTTAATTTCTTCCCCCCCACTCCCCAGTCCTGGGGATTAAAGTCAGGGTCTGGGTGCTGTCCTTCAGTTTTTGTGCTCAAGGCTACAGCTCTACCAGTCCCCTATCCCATTTTTTGATATTTAATTGTAGATAAGTCTTGTGAGCTTTCCCTTGCAGGCTGGCTTTGAACTGCAATCCTCAGATCTCAGCCTCCTGAGTAGCTAGGATTACAGGCGTGAGCCACCAGGGCCTGGCTGTGACTAGAACTTCGATTATTCCCCCAATGCACACAGCCAATCAAAATGCAGATGACTTCTCTGCCTCCCTGAAGTTCTTAAGGGGCATGTGATTGGGTTCTGGGCCTTTCCCCTTAAGAAGAAATGATTGCACGAGAGCTGGAAGGCCTCTTTTGAAGGAAGGGCTGTTGTTTTCCAACTTCCTAGAAGCTGGGGTAGAATATGAGGGGTGGAGCTGCAGCAGTGCTCTTGGATCATGAGGTAGATGCTGCACTGGGGGCGTGTATGGGGGTAGGGGTGGCGCTATTCCAGCCCTACATGGCTGACCGCTGGAGTAGTTTCACAGGAAGGGAAACTGCCTCCTCTTTAACTGCTATCACTCTGGGCTCTCATTTGCATTTCTGCTCTTGACCCACCCATCTCCCTGTAGCAATGGAAGAGGTGAGACTGACCCTTTCACGGTGGCCTGGGAGGAGGGGGTGTAGGGTTGAATGGGGGTGGGGGAGAGGTAAGCTTCTTTACAGATTCAGGGGCCTATTCCTGGCCTGGTTGCTGGGGACAGCTCTCCGGGCACCTCTGTACTTTGGTACCAGGCCCACAGCTCAGGGCATTGGACAGCTGCATGAATGGTCCAGGACCTCTACCATAGGGTGTTTGCAGCATAGTGCTGTGCAGTGGCAGGAGCTAGCACAGAGCCAGAGGATCTGGATGGCCTCTGCTAGCCACTGGCTGTGTGACTGGGCAGGTCTGTCACCTTTCCTGGCCTCACTGCCAGGGTCTGAGACATCGGAATCATTTTAACACCCGTCACAGGTTTCTGTTTGGATGAGGGCCTGAGGGCCTTCTGTGGATGGAAATGGCCTGTATGGATGGGATTTTGTGTAGTTGGGTTGTTCCCCCCCCCCCCCCGTCTCCTCTATTCTTTTCCCTAGTTGTGTTCCTTTCCTTCTTCTCTCTCTCATTCTCTCTCCTTTTCTCTCTTTTTTTCTCTCTTTCTCTTTTTTGCTGGTACTGGGCTTGAACTCAGGGACTCTGCTACCTACTATCCAAGTAATCTTGGGCGAGACACCGAGCCTTGGTGTCCTCATCAGGGAAATGGGAATATTACCTATACCTGTCTTCTAGGGTTGGGTGCAGCCTGAGCTAACACATGGCAGGAGTCAGGCCTGGCAGAGGATCAATACTTAATCTTGAGGGGTTCTGATTATGGAGAGAGAGAGAGAGAGAGAGAGAGAGAGAGAGAGAGAGAGAGAGAGAGAGAGAGAGAGAGAGGGAGGCAGGGAGGGAAGGAGGGAGAGAAAGTTCTCCCATCTCTACTGCTGGGCACCTACCATGAGGAGTCCCTTGTAGGCATAGACAATGCCCAGCCAAATGGTCATGTGGGTGTTTTCACAGTGTTCCAGCAATGGGCGAATGGAGATGTCCCGGCCTGCTGGGTCCGGCTGTGCAAAGAGAAAACAGAGATGTATCAGGGGTGAGCCAGCCACTCCAGGCCCTTCCTTATCACTGGACCCTTTACCATCCCATGCTCAGACAGCACCCAGCTCAGGAACTTTTGGAGCCCATCTCTTTGTTCCCTTGGTGTGGGGCTTAAGCTCAAACTAGCATCCACACGCTCTGCAAGTTGGTGCCATCCCACCCTGAACTCCATTGTACCGGCCCTGAGCCAGAGCTGCTCATGGCAAGGACTGGCTCAGGTCTGTGTCCCTAGGACCTAGCACAAAACCTGGCCCGTAGCCGGCATCCGAAAGGTTTGTTGAAAGAGTGATTGAGTGAGTAATGTGCAAATCTTCAAATGTCTCTGGGGCTAACTTGGGTAGTTGAAATAAGGAATATATCCACCAAGTCCTCTTAGGCAGACCTGCATTGCAGAAACAGTGGTAGCACCCACGATATTATGTATCATGTGACCCATCCAGGTTGCAGCTGATTGGACAAGAGGTGCCTGGCTGATTGCAAGCAGCCAATCGTGATGCAGGTTGCAGATCTTTGTGTAAAGTACTCTTTCCACAGAGAGGAGATAGGAGAGCATCCTATCCCAGCAGACAGAGGAATGCAGTGGTAGGGCCATGCAGTCACTCATGGGCAGCAAACCCATTAATGATGATTGTGTCTGTTGTTTTACAGTGAAAAGTAATAACTTGTGAGGGATTCTTAGAGGCTTGGGGGAGAAAGGACTGGTTCTATCATACACCATTGTTTGGTATGATAAAAATTATTTGTGGGGCTAGGTGCCAGTGGCTCCTGCCTGTAATCCTAGCTACTCAAGAAGCTAAGGCCGGGGCTGGGAAGGTGGCTCAGTGGTAGAGTGCTTGCCTCTCATGCATGAGTTCCTGGGTTCAATTCCTCAGCACCACATAAACAGAAAAAGCCAGAAGTGGCACTGTGGCTCAAGTGGTAGAGCACTAGCCTTGAGCTGAAATGCTGAGGGACAGCGCCCAGGCCCAGAGTTAAGCCCTCATGACTGACCGAGAGAGAGAGAGAGAGAGATAGTGAGAGAGAGAGAGAGAGAGAGAGAGGGAGGGAGAGAGAGAGAGAGAGAGGGAGGGAGAGAGGGAGAGAGAGAGAGGGAGGGAGGGAGAGAGAGAGAGAGGGAGGGAGAGAGGGAGAGAGAGAGAGGGAGGGAGGGAGAGAGAGAGGGAGGGAGAGAGAGAGAGAGAGGGAGGGAGAGAGGGAGAGAGGGAGGGAAGGAGGGAGGGAGAGAGAGAGAGAGGGAGGGAAGGAGGGAGGGAGAGAGAGAGAGAGAGAGAGAGAGAGAGAGAGAGAGAGAGAGAGAGAGAGAGAGAGAGAGAGAGAAGCTAAGGTCTGAGGATTATGGTTCAAAGCCAGCCCAGGCAGGAAAGTCAGTGAGGCTCTTATCTCCAATTAACCAACAAAAAACTAGAAGTGGAGTTATGGCTCTAAGTGGTAGAATGCTAGCCTTGAGTAAATAAACACACACACACACACAAGAACCACAACTATTTGTGGGAGAGTTGCACCATTTTTCTTCTTCCTCTTCTTCCTAACTTCCTTCCATCCTTCCTCTCCCTCCATCCCTCCCTCCCTCTCTCCTTTTGTTCTTTCATGTTCCTTCCTTTCCTTTCTCTTTCCTTTCTTCCTTTCTCTCTCCTTTCTTTCTTTCTTTCTTTTCTTCTTCTCCTTCTTTTCCTCCTCTCCTTTTCTCCTTGTCCTGCTTCTTCTTCATGCTGTGAATCAAACTCAGGGTCTTGAGCTTTCTAGGCAAGTGCTCTATAACCTCCATCCCCAGCCCCACAGTTTTTTAACTAAAGCTGAACCTCCCCCTCAACAACCTGCCTCAGTAAAGATCAGACAAGTTGGCAGTCAGTCCTCAGAGTGGATGCTGCGGTATCCACCCCGTTTACAGGTACTGACTTAGAAATAAATCTCCCAAATCTGACCAGGATGCTGGTCACAGTGGCCGGGGTTAGAGGTAGTCAGGAGTCATGAAGTTCCTGTCCTTCCAAGGCTGGGGGATGGGGGCATCATCAAGCGACTCTCCTACTGATTCCCAAAGCAAGCGGAGCAACCGAGCCTCCTGCTGGGCCATTGGGATCCTGCTGGGCCTGGGGGTGACAGCAGCACCTAGGGGCAGGGATGGGAGCCACACCTGAGCACTTACATGGCGTCATTATCATTCACCAAAGCACCACTAGAGGGCACCAAAGAACCAGGCGGGGAGGCAGTTTGCTGCTGCGGATGACCTACCACCTCCTGGGGACCCACAACTACTGTGGCTCAGTGGGACTGCACATGGCCAGACTGTCACAGCTACATCCTGCCCATCCAGGATATACCCACAGGCCTTAACTGAGGCCAGACGTCCAAGCACCATGGGCAGACCCTCTCCACGGCTCCAGCACAGCTGTTGGGCACTGCCCCAGTTGGAGGGCACTGGGCCTGTGGGTAGGTATAGGACACCTAACACCTGTAGATGCTGTGTTGGAGCCTCAGGATGGGCCTGTGTGTGCCTCTGAGGCCTACTTCTCAGTACAGCTGAGGCAACTGTGTTTCTACTGCTTCAAAAATGTGAGAGTTGGGATGAGAGGCCCACTGGGAGTTGCAACTGTTTTCTCTCAATCATTCATTCATTCATTGATTCACTCAGTACATGACGATTAAGCACTATTATTTTCCAGGGACTGTTGTGGGCACAGGATGTCAACTAAGCAGGACAGGAGAGAGTCTCGTCCTCATGAGGCTCCTGTCCTGGTAGGACCAGGCTGGTTTCCATGAGAAGTGTCCTTTGGTGGAGAGTGCAGGGGCTTCTCCCAGTGTCAGCAGACGTAAGGACCTCAAGGCTCATCTCGTTACGAGTGACCGCATTGTGCTGGTGGCCAGCCTGAGACCTGAACTCACAGCATCTCATAGCAAGCTCCGGCGTATCCATCCATTTCTTCTTTCTTTTTTGGGGGGAGTGGGAGTCCTGGGTTTTGAACCTAGGTCCTGGGTGCGTCCCTGAGCCTTTTTGTGCTCAAGGCTAGCTCTCTAGCACTTGAGCCACAGCGCCACTTCTGGCTTTTTCTGAGTAGTTTATTGGAGACAAGAGTCTCACAAACTTTCCTGCCCAGGCTGGCTTTGAACTGCCGTGCTCAAATCTCAGCCTCCTGAGTAGTGCCTGGCCACTTCTTAAACTCAGTTTACAGGTGAGGAAATCAAGGCACAGAGAGGTTAAGTAACTTGGTCAGCATCTCCAGTGGATCAGTGTCAGATTAATCCCAGCCTTGTCTGACTCCTGTCACTTCTTGTCTGACTCCTCCCCCTCTCACATGCCCTCCCCTTCCCTGCTCCTTGAAAGCACTACCCCAGATTCCAAGGAGAGGGGTGTGTGGATTTGCTCTGCTTCCTGGAGGGCCGTTAAGCATTCAGTAGAGGCCTCTTGAAGCCCCGAAGTCCCCAGAGCACCAGGTAGGCTGTGCTTGGGTGCTATAACCTGAAGTCAAGTTGAGAAAATGCCCTTTCCTGCCAGGCAGGGCGCTGTGCCCAGCAGAGAGGTATGCCCATTTGTGATGGCCGGAAGGCCAACCGCTCACACCTGGTGCTCAGCAGGAGGCCTGCAGAAACTGCTGGGGAATCCTCCCTCGTCCGTTCACGGAGAGGAGAGCAGCTGGCTCCTGTCCTTCCACGGAACTCAGGTCAGTGGTTCCAGCATGCCGTGTGCAGAGACAGGCTACCCACATGGGCTGGCAGGAGTGGGGATACTTAGGCCTGAATGGTCAAAAGGCTTGGTCCTGCTACAGACTTCCTGGGTGAGCATGGGCAAACCCTTTTCCAGACCTCAGTTTCCCATCGGAGCCTGTAAGTTCACTTACAGCATAGTTCTTAAGAGCCTGAATCACGGGAAAGGATTTGGTTTTATATTCATTCATTCATGCATGCATTCATTCAAAATCAATGCAGCTTGCATTCACCCACTGCTGTGTGTTCTACACTGTATTTACACTGGGATGCAAGTGGTAAAGCCAGAATAATGCTTGTGTCCTTGGAGTGAACATTATAGTGGATACAGATGTTCATTAAACTGCCCGGCAGTGACAAGGATTTCCAAGAAGAACTCCAAGGTCTTTCAAGGATTACTGGCCGATCTGCTAAGCATGGAAGGCTTTCTGGAAGTGGTGATATTGGTCTGAGACCTGAAGGAGCAAACACGTCAGAGGGCAGGTGGGAGAGGATCTGAGGTAGTAGGGACTTCGGCTTGTGTTAGGAATGAAGCAGAGCCAGCATGGTGGGGGTGTGGTAGCCGGGGACCAGCGTGAGGTCTCACGGGCCTTGGGGAGCCTGGAGCAATGCAGATGGGGTCCTGCCTCGGATCGCATGTCTTCCCATCCCCTTGCCGGCTGTGGGTGACTCTGAACACAACCGTGAGCCTCTTGGAGCTGAGCCTTCCTCATCTGTAACCTCCGGGGTGGCCGCCGAGGAGATCCAGGGAGGTGCCCGGTGTGTCTGCAGCCCGCAGATGCTGGCGTGCCTGCCACAGATGTGTCAGCCATCATTATCTCCAACTGCCGAGTCACAGGGTGCTGGAGCCTGGAGGAACCTTCCAGATCCCGCAGGGGCTGGACTGCTTATCTCCACAGCAGCAGCCCCACGTCTCCCAGGCAGCAAAGCCACCAGCTGTCACTTCAAGGCAAGTATTTCTTTTCCAATGTTTGATTATGAGTTTGGATGAATTTTTTTTTTCCAGAATCATAGATTCCAAGGGACGTGTGAGACTTGTCCCTTCCCTGCAAAGGCTCTTGGGAGAGCTGCTATGCCTTTGTGGGTACATGGTACAGCTCTTCATGGCGTGGGGGTGTCTGTACTATGCAGGGCACACAGGGTCCCCCTCCCTGGTCCCTGGTTCCTGGTCACTAAATACCATGAATATCCTCTAGTTCCTATGACAACTCAAATCTCCTCCCCCTTGGTCAGGAGGTGTGGCCCAAGTGGTAGATCGCCTGCC